CCCCAAAACCCCAAAACCCCAAAACCCCAAAACCCCAAAACCCCAAAACCCCAAAACCCCGTAAGAGAAATAATTAGTAGAAAATAATAAAAATAAATATGGACCCAGACCAACCCACCGAAGATCAACTCAGAGAAGTATTCAACACCTTTGACAGAGACGGCAATGGATCAATCGATGCTGAAGAAATCCAGAAGGTAATTCAAGAGCTCGGCCTTGATGCTAAGAGCAGTGAGATCGAAAATTTGATCAGCGAAGCAGATAAAGACGGCAACGGAAAGATTGAGTTTGATGAGTTTAAAAAGGCCGTCCTTGGTGAAGACTAAATTCATCCTAAAATGTTTTGAAGTAGATGTACCTTTTATGCACCAGAGTTTAGATTCGGAAATGGCTTTGCTCCAAGTAAATTTGTGTAGTAGCCTTGGATATTTCTACCCCGGGTTCTTTTGGATATTTTAGTAAATTCTTCTAAAGAGGAACATTGACCAAAGAGGAACATTGACTAAAGAGTATTGAAAGCATATACCACAGCTAAAAATGTTCTATCTACTTCCCTCTAAACCCAAGATTCATTCGAAATCCTCCATTTTTGATATAGAGATGTTTCTCGAAAAATTAGTTTAAATTATCCTAAAACATTTTTATAACTATTATGGCTGCTTCTAAGTTAACAAAAACAGAGATTTTTAAGTATGGATTCCAAGAATGCCTTGTCTTTTTCATAAAGCTACAAGATGAAGCATACGAGCAGTAAGGCAATGATCCGATTTCCTTGGATACTTCAAGAAATTGGATCTAAAGAAAAATAGTTTATCAGCCAAACAGAAAGGCTTAAAATGGAGGAACTATCTACGCATCAGGTTCAATATTCATCAAAATAACCCCTCAACCTTCCCTTCAGATCCAAAATCTCTTCTCCCCACGAACCCATCACCCCATCCCCATTAACCCCTCTTCCTATTAACTACCCCAACCCCATATCCCTCCAAAATTTGGTAGAACCCCATAATCCCCCTCCCCTCCCCCTCCCTTCCCCCTCTCCTCCCTCTTCCAGCCCCATCCTCCCTTGCTCCACCAAAATTTCCATCAGATTTTAGAATTCACTAATTTCCATTTTGGGCACCTCTAACATAATTCCCCTTCGTTCTACTTCAACTACTAATAATTTTATTGGGGTTTTGGGGTTTTGGGGTTTTGGGGTTTTGGGGTTTGGGGTTTTGGGGTTTTGGGG